GCTCAGATCACGGGGTGGCAGGGGGCACTGAGTGCCAGGCTCAGATCATGGGGTGGTGGGGGCACTGAGTGCCAAGCCCTCATTTGGGTTCTGGAAACTAAGGCCATGACTTGCAGGCTGTGTGTGTGACATGTGACTGTGAGGGTTTGTATGTGCAAACTATGTGAGCATGGGTGTGTGCCCTGTGAGAGAGGATGCATGTCTGTGGCATGTGTGTAAATGTGAGTGTGGGTATGTGCACAGGTTGTGTGTTGTGTGAACAAAAGCATGTGTGTAAATGTGAGTGTGTGTTGAGGCCACCAAGTCCTGAGGCTGGGCAGGTTGGAACCCCTCAGAGCGGTTTCCCCCAAGCCCACCCAGGTGGGGTCCACAGACCCTCCCCATTTCTAACTCCCCCAGGGCCCTGCGTTCCCAGAGGAGGTGCCTCTTCCTAGCTGTCACAAAGAGACCCTGCCATGGGAACCCTAGTCCGGTGGCCCTGGGTGCTAGCCCCACCATGTGCCTGGTATGCTTGTGACTCCATTTCCTCTTCTGTGAAACACCTCTGACTCTAGCAGCTCCAAACTGCTGCCGCACAGAATCGTGTGCAATAAAAATGGTTGGTTTCATACTACCAAGTTTTGGGGTGGTTAGTGATGCAGCAGTCGATAGCTGATATGAGGGTAAGGGCAGAAACGAAGACTTGAAAGGAAGTAAGACCACAGAGGTGTGGCTCCTTCCCTGTGTCTGTTGTCACATTTCTTTTTCTCTCTGCTTTCGCCTCATTGTCTTCCCACTAGCCTTCCTACCTCCCACAAGAAACCCTGGATGCCGCCTGCCCTCCTCTCTGTACCCATGGGCTCTGCATCCAGATGGAACCAACCAGAGATAAAAAATATTCGGAAAAAAAACCTGTGTCTGTACTGCAACTGTACAAACTTTTCTCTTGTCGCTATTCCCTAAACAATACGGTATAACAACGATTTACATAGCGCTTACATTGTATTACAAGCATTCTAGAGGTGATTTAAAGCATGCAGGAAGATGTGCATCGGTTATTTGCAAATACTGAGCCATTTTATGGAAGGGATTTGAGCATCCAGGATTTTGGTATCCTTGAGAGGTGATGGAGCCAATCCTCTACGGATACGCAGGGATGGCTGTACATTGGACTCACCCTGATAAACCTAAGAATCTCCCCATCTTAAGAACCTTAGCTTCATTGCATTTGCGAAGTCCCTTCTGCCATCACAGGAGCTGGAACTTAGGAAGTGGACATCCTTGGGGGCCATTATTCTGCCCACCACAGTCCACCCTCCAGTTTTCAAAGATTCACACAGGCCTCACGGGCCACATGCATGCACCCAACTCAAGGTCCTCCGCAGCCTCAACTCATTACCGCATCAACTCAGGTCCATACGCAAAGTCTCACCAGTTCACAAGTTTCAAGTGCCATCATCTGAATCATCTACATTGGGTCTGGATGGGGCCCCAGCGAAGGAGGGAGTCAACCAGGCGGCTGAGCACCGGTCCCGGTGACCCGCTCCCGCCACGCGAACGAACGCAGCACCGCCCTCCCCGCAGCGCAAACTGCAGCGGGAAGGCTGTGCTGGGCTGGGCGGCACGAACCCCAGTGCCTGAGGCTGCCCCAGGACTGCGGGAGCCCCAAGTCCTCAGCGCAGGGTTCACTCGTCATGAAAGGAACGTGAGGCTGCGGGCGCCCTGCGCCCATGCTACAGGTGGAGAGAGCAGCGCGGAGCCCTCTCCCTTCCCCTCCCACGCCTCCCTGCACCCTGGAACCCCCATTCCTCCCCTCCCCCACGCCCCCTCCCCTCCCCTTCGCCTCCTCGCCTCCGCCTCGCTTTCTCCCCTCCGTGCCGGGCCTCCTCCCTTCCCACGCCCTTTGTCTCCTTCGTCCAGCTCGGGGAAAGCCCGAGTCCCGCTCCCATACACCGATGAGTGCCGAGTCCTCCAGGCTGCCTAGAGCGTCCCGGAAGTAGCTGGGGGAAGGTGGCGAGGTGCGGACCGGAGGAGAACAAAGTGGCCGCCACTTCCGGCCGGCGGCGGCGGCTCGGGGTGCGCAGGGTGAGTGGGGTCCTGGCCTGAGGCGCTGGGCTGCCGGTCCTGGCCGGGGCGGTCCGGTGGGTGCGGGCGCGGGCAGGCGCTCTCCGGTCTTCGTTGGGCGCGGGTGGCGCGGGCGGGAGCCGCAGTCTGGGCGGGCGGGCGCGTTGGGAGGGGCGGGGTGGGGCGGGGCTGGTCGCGAGGCCGCGGGGCCGGGCCGAGCCGCGGGCGGCAGCGCCCCCTCCCGGGAGCCGCGCTCGGAACCCGAAGCCCCGCGCTTCCCGCGCGACCCCCGCGGCCTGCGCGTGCGGCCCCAGAGCCGAACCCGGCCCTCGCCGCCGGGCCTGGCCTTGGCACCCCAGCCCGGAGCCTTCCTGCGCTTCCACTTCCAGAGAGGCTTGCTAACGAGGCCCGCTTGCCTCCCGAAAGACCAGACCCAGACTTTTCTTCTACTCCATTTTTTGTTTTTGTTCTTGTCCCAGACTGCGTCTCTGCCTGCTAACGGGGACCCTGGGGTAGACACGCTTTCCAAGCGAGCCTCGCCAGCAGCCCAGGGCCCCCCGCGAGGAGGGCTGCCGGCGGGACTTGCCGCCGGCTCCGGGTGCGCTCTGTGGGGCGCACGGCCCCAGGGTCTCTGCCCATCCTTCTCCCCCGCACGACCCCAAGCTCCCCTCTTCCCCCGGCCCCGACACAGACACAGACACAGGCAGACACATGCTCGCGCGCGCGCGCACACACACGCACAGTATGCCCGCGCAGACACACACACACACACACACACACACACAGTATGCCCGGGCAGACACACACACACACACACACACACACACACACACACACACAGAGTATGCCCGCGTAGACAGACACACACACACAGACACACACACACAGTATGCCCGCGCAGACACACACACACACACAGTATGCCCGTGCAGACACACACACAGTATGCCCGTGCAGACACACACACAGTATGCCCGCGCAGACACACACACAGTATGCCCGCGCAGACACACACACAAAATATGCCCTCGCAGAGGTCGTTTCCTGCTCCCCGCCCCACCGAGTTCCTCAGGGCCTCTCCTCACACAGTACGGGGCTTAGGCCTCCCATTTCTTGTCTGTCCCTTGGACACAGAATTCCGTGTTTCATCCCGTGTTCACGTTGCCTCGGGGGTCAGTGCTTCCTCTGCAGTCGCAAGGGAAGAAAGCACCCCAATTTCTTTCGGCATGCCGTGTTAGCCTTTTGCTGAAGACGTTGTTTCATAAGGAATATCTGAATTTCATTTTTAAAGGAAGTGTTTAGTCTTGCAAGCGGGACGACACTGTGTTCAGCCCCTCCGTGTCACCCTGCCACACCTGCACGCCAGGCTTGGAGACCGGTCCACAACGAGCCTGTTTCTGGTGCTGAGTCTCCTCCAGGAAGCTTTTCCCAGCGTCCCAGGCCCGATCAGTCCCTCACAGGCTACTGTGGGAGTCCATATCTTCCCCAGTTTTTCTACAGTGGCTTCATATTAAAAACCTTGAGGGTGGATGGTGGCCTTGCCTCCCTCCTATTCCCCTTGGTGAGGTGCGCATGGCTCTTGGTGAGGTGCGCATGGCTCGCTGTGCCGTGCCAGGCCACACACACATTACATCGTCACCCTCAGCAAACAATGCGGGATCCTTAAGGGCCCAGGCCACATTTTGCAGACCAGGAAGCCGACTCCGAAAGAGGACAGGACTCACCCTGAGTTGGCGGCTGACAAGCCTGGGGTTAGCCTTTGGAGCTTTTACTGCATTTGAATGCACTCCTCATTCCTCTTGAGCTCTGGCCTCAAAGGACTGTGTTTCTGTGTGCCACGTGCAAGTAGGCCTTTGGCCACACACTCTGCATGGAGTTGGCAGAAGCAGCCATGGGAAGGACATGGGATGGAGGCTGGAACTCCACGAGTCCATCCCCAAGTACTGCAGGCCTGCAGAGGAGTGAGGGAAGGGACACCCTAGGCCTGTCCCTAGGGTGTTGGGGCAAGCAGGTTTCAGCCCTCACCTCCCTCAGTAGCATCTTACTGGGTGAAGCGCATTGCTGGCCCTGACTCCTCAGGCTGCCTTGGCCTCACAGGGGTGCACCCACTGTGCCCTGCCAGTCTGCCCGGGTCTAGGGAGAGGTGTGGGATGTGGTGCAGAGTTTTAGGAGAGGATGGAATTGTCCAGCTGGAAGGGATGAGAATGACCCAGATCCTCTTTATACAGGAGGTGGGGGAGAAGATAGTTCAGAACTCCAGCAGAAAGAAGTGATTGATTAGAGCCAGGATGTTTCTATGCCGTTCTTTATACTGGTCAAAGATGTGTATGAAACCTACAAGCACAGGTTTCGTAGGGTGCACGGCTGGCCCAGAAAGAACCCTTGCTCCCAGAGGGCCATCGGGTGTCCAGGCATTTGCTTCTGGCCTGGATTCATCATTTGTTCATAGAGCCTCTCAAATTAGTAAATACTGAAGAAGCCCCTGCTCTGGGCTGGCTCGCTCCCGTGTCCTCTGAGCATGCATGTGTGAGTGAGGGTGGGCGGCTGTGTGTGTGTCCAGCAGGCTCTGAGGCCCTGCCCTGGTTATGGGGCCAGGTGGATGGGCAGCACCAGAGCCTGGGGTTTCCGAGACCAGCGGCTCAGTGTGGCTGCCTGGGGCAGGGTGCCCTGAGCTGAGCGTGAGGAGTTCCTCCTGGAAGAGGCCTGGAATGGTCACAGCTGTTTGCTGCGGGTCCTCATAGATGCGTCTGAGCGTGTGCGGTGTGGGAGGTCGGGGCCTGTTGAGAAGCTGGCTGCACCTCCTAGCCCTTGGAGGAGCTTGAGGCCTCCTGTTCTGGAGAAACTTCCAACGCCTCGTTTTCTAGAGGCAGTCTGGGGCTGTGTTGGCGAGAGGAGTTTGGAGGGCTGTTCCAGATGGGGTTTGAGGGCACGGTTTCAGAAGGGGTTTCTAAGATCTTCAGCTGGGAGGGTTGTGAAGATTCCTCCTCCCTGCCTCCCTCCACCCCCGCCTCTGCTCTTCCGGGAGGAATAAGGGATTTGAGAAGGTGGCTAGGCCAGGCAGCTCAGCAAGCAGTCACAGCAAGAAACTGAGTCTGGGTGGGCGGGAGGTTTGTTCTTGGGTCAGCCCAGCATCTGACTTCCTGGCTTCTCTGATGGCCTCTGCCTGAGTGCTTCCCCAGGAGAGGCCAGGCTGCTCCTAGGAGAGCCACTTCTGGTTTCCAGCTCTAGCGAGTGGCTTCAGTTTGCTTGGTAGGAGTTGGGCGGACTCCAGCTGAGCAGCACACCCGGGGGCTGGGCAGGACTGGGCTGCTCCCGAGGCTGCCCTCTCCCCATGGTGCATGCTAACGCCTGCGTGGGGCCTCTCAATGGCACTTGAGTTTCAGCTGGAGCGTCCCGGTGAGGCTAGAGGCGTGAGGATGCCAGGGGCGTCCCAGTGAGGCTAGATGCTTGAGGATGCCAGGGGTGTCCCGGGGAGGCTAGAGGTGTGAGGATGCCAGGGGCGTCCTGGGGAGGCTAGAGGTGTGAGGATGCCAGGGGCGTCCTGGGGAGGCTAGAGGCTTGAGGATGCCAGGGGCGTCCCGGGGAGGCTAGAGGCGTGAGGATGCCAGCGGGGTCCTGTGTGCGCCCATTGCATTCCTCTCTCTTCCCCTTCTGCTTTCCAGCCTCTGAAGTGCTGTGCCTGGAGAGACCATTGTGGACCCTGGAGAGGCCCCTGCTGTGTATGCCGTAAAACCTTGACCTCCCCAAACCTGGTCAGCATTTGAGGGGAGCCGCTGCCACAGTACCCACAGAGAAGGCGGGGGTTCCAGCTGTGCGGAGCAGCAGAGGGACGTCTGACAGGGTCACCTCCCCTGCAGAGAGAACTGGCAGCTGACCGTGCTGCTGGGAGCAAGGGCCTGGGCGTGTAGAGCCTGGAAGGCAAGGGACCCCTGAGGCAGCAGGTACAGCGCGTGAAGTGGGGAACCCGGGAGGGACTGGGGCTGTGCTCAGGACCAGCAGAGCAGGCAGGCAGAGTGGAGAGGGAGAGACTGAGGCCCGGGAGGGGAACAGGAGGAGGGGGAAGGAGCGGCAGCAGTCCAGGCCAGGCGTGTGGCCTGTGAGCGCTGGGACCAGCCACCCCTCCCCATGGCCTCCAAGCCGGCTGCCGGGAAGAGCAGAGGGGAGAAGCGGAAGAGAGTGGTGCTGACGCTGAAGGAGAAGATTGACATCTGCACGCGCCTGGAGAAGGGCGAGAGCCGCAAGGCGCTGATGCAGGAGTACAACGTGGGCATGTCCACCCTCTACGACATCAGGGCCCACAAGGCGCAGCTGCTCCGCTTCTTTGCTAGCTCGGACTCCAACAAGGCGCTGGAGCAGCGGCGCACGCTGCACACGCCCAAGCTGGAGCACCTGGACCGCGTCCTGTACGAGTGGTTCCTGGGGAAGCGATCCGAGGGCGTTCCCGTGTCAGGCCCCATGCTCATCGAGAAGGCCAAGGACTTCTACGAGCAGATGCAGCTCACCGAGCCCTGCGTCTTCTCTGGAGGGTGGCTTTGGCGTTTTAAGGCCAGACACGGCATTAAAAAGCTAGATGCGTCCAGCGAAAAGCAGGCAGCCGACCACCAGGCAGCGGAGCAGTTCTGTGGGTTTTTCAGGAGCTTGGCTGCGGAGCACGGGCTGTCCCCCGAGCAGGTTTACAATGCTGACGAGACCGGCCTTTTCTGGCGGTGCCTGCCGAATCCCACTCCGGAAGGCGGGGCCAGGCCCGGCCTCAAGCAGAGCAAGGACCGGCTGACCGTGCTGATGTGTGCCAATGCCACAGGCTCCCACCGGCTCAAGCCCTTGGCCATCGGGAAGTGCAGCAGCCCCAGGGCCTTCAAAGGCATCCAGCACCTGCCCGCCGCCTATAAGGCCCAGGGAAATGCTTGGGTGGACAAGGAGATTTTTTCCGATTGGTTCCATCATATCTTCGTGCCGTCGGTGAGAGAGCACTTCCGAAGCATAGGTTTGCCGGAAGACAGCAAGGCCATTCTCTTGCTGGACAGCTCCCGGGCTCACCCGCAGGAGGCCGAGCTGGTGTCCAGTAACATTTTCACCATCTTTCTGCCTGCCAGTGTGGCCTCACTAGTGCAGCCCATGGAGCAGGGCATCCGGAGAGACTTCATGAGGAACTTCATTAACCCTCCGACCTCCCTGCAGGGCCCGCACGCCCGCTACACCGTGAACGACGCCATCTTCAGCGTAGCCTGTGCCTGGAACGCGGTGCCCGGCCACGTCTTCCGGCGGGCCTGGAGGAAGCTGTGGCCATCGGTTGTGTTTGCCGAAGGCTCCTCATCTGAGGAGGAGGTGGAGGCAGATTGCTTCCAGGCGAAGCCCCACAACAAGTCCTTTGCGCACATCCTGGAGCTGGTGAAGGAGGGCTCCTCCTGCCCCGGACAGCTTCACCAGCGCCAGGCTACCGGCTGGGGTGTAGTGGGGAGGGAGGCAGAAGGGGAACGGCTGCCTGCTCCCACATCGCCAGCAGAGGCAGTGTGGAGTTCAGAAAAGACTCCAAAAACCAACCAGGATGGTGGAGGAGACGCCGGTGAGGGTGAGGAGGCCGCCTGGGAGCAGGCAGCCGTGGCCTTTGACGCAGTCCTGTGCTTTGCGGAGCGGCAGTCGTGCTTCAGCGCACAGGAAGTGGGGCAGCTGCGGGCGCTGCGCGCTGTGTTCCAGAGCCAGCAGCAGGTGAGAAGGCAGCATGGCACCCTCAGGGCTGTGGTCAAGGTCGAAGCCCTCCAGGAGGGCCCTGGCGGCTGTGGGGCCATGGCTTGCTCTCCCTTGCCCTGCTCATCCACAGCAGGTAACAACTGATGGCTTGTCTGCCTGGCCCTGGCCACTGGCCCTGTTTCGCCATGCACACTGGAGTGGCACGGTCCTGTGCCCCAACTCCATCCGAGGCAGAAGGGCGTGTGCAGACACTTAAGAGCCCTTCCAGGAGCGGGCGGCCCATGGGTGTGGCTCAGGTGCTCAGGACGGTCCGGGCCCGAGGTTCCTGTCAATACAGGTTTTATTTTATACTTGCCATGTCATCCGGAAGTGAGAAAATGTTTTGGACGGGTCCACCCTAGCCTAGAACAGGCCAGAGCCTCACCCTGGCGGGAAGGGGCCAGGCTGGGCCGGTCTGGCTTCCTGTTTGCCGGCTGACCATTGTAGTATCGGAGGGTGGAGATGTCTGTCCACTTGGAGAGAAGTTGCCCTCCAGGAGGCCATAGCCCCTGCCCGCCACCCCTGGACAAGTTGTGTATGTCCCAAGGCCCACCTCCTGCATCTCAGAAGGCTCTATCCGCTGGGCTGGCGGCCATGCCTTTGCTGGGTGGACCCCGAGCGCTGTGTCTGAGGGCAGATGGCCAAGAGCTGGGACTCAATTCTTGGCCTGCTGGTGGCTGAACAGGCCGCATGTCTCATTTCAGTCATGGCCTCAGGCAGCAGAATGACTCTGGAACGATCCTCGGTTACGCACAGATCTGGCCCCAAGATGTGGGGGGCCCCACGGAGAGTTGACTTGGTGGAGTTCCCTCCCGGGAAGAAAGTAGGAGCGGCTGAGCAGGCCCTGCTCATCACCCAGATAGAGGACACGGACCCTGCGTGCTATTTTGGCATTTTGGCGCAGAGTCCGATGTACCATATTGCCCAGAATTTCACTTATGGCCTTTACATGAATCCGTCTTCATCAGACATTCAGAGATTAGTCTTAGGGTTGCACACAAGTCATTGAAAACCATGCAACTGGCTGCTTAGATTCCCAGCAGTATTTGTGCTGGTATCCCCAGCTGTTAACCACGTTAGTAATACTTTTGGGGAGGACTTGTCTGTCCTGGTAGTTTCACAGAGGCGGTTGTGAGAGGATGTGGTTATTTTCTCCATGTCTGTAGGTGCTTTGCAGAATCTCCATTTCAGGGGCAACACTCACTGCCTGCAGCAGAGATTCCAGAATGCCCTGTGTCCACAGGGATAAGCCTTGTCTTTGAGAGACCATGAAATAAGTGTATTCTTTTTTTTTTTTTTTTTTTTTTTTGAGGCAGGGTCTCACTGTGTCGACCAGGCTGGAGTGAAGTGGTGTGATCATAGCTCATGGCAGCCTTGAGCTCCCTGGCTTGAGTGTTCCTCCTGCCCCAGCCTCCTGAGTAGCTGGGACTAGGGGCGTGCACCAGCATGCCTGCCTTTTTATGTTTTTGTAGAGACGGTCTCACTATGTTGCCCATTCTGGTCTTGAACTCTTGGCCTCAAGTGATCCTCCTGCCTCGGCCTCCCAAAGTGCTAAGATTACAGACGTGAGCCACAGCACTTGGCCTAAATAGGTTTTTCCTGCTACATTATTTTCAGTGCTTTGCCCTTGAATTCGCTTCCCTTCTTGAATTCGTATCATTTGGCAAAGTCAGCATGTAGTTTGCGGTCCAGCGACTGCAGCTGATTCCACTGACACCTTTGTTCTCATGAGGAAGAGGACTGGGCTCGCTGCGGTTTTTCGTATTTTCATGTCTGCAGACATGGGCAAAAGTCCTTGCTGACAGAGCCCTGCCTGTGTCCTGGAAGTGTGTGTTTCTTGCTTTGAACGCCTGTGTGAAGTTATAAAAGCAAGCAGTTTTTAAAGATCTCGGTGCCAAGTGACAGGCCCAGTGGCTCCCAGCCGAGCCCCAGCTCCCAGCCCCACATGCTTGCTCCTTTGCCCGTGTGTACCACGTGTGGACTGAGCTCCAGCCTCCACTTCCACACATGGACCCTCAGACCTTGCACATTTGTTTCCCTTTCAGGGCAGTGATGATGACATGAAATGAGGTGGGGTCCTTCCTGTTTAGAGATGAGACGGGGCAGGGAGGGCAGGTGTGAAATTGCTGAGGGCAGAGCCAGACCCAGGGCTGCCTGTTGAGTCCAGCAGGGACCTGCTCCTGGTGACCAGCCTCATGTTCTCCACTGCTCGTTCCCTGCCATTCACCAGCTGCGTGACCTTGAGCAGTGCCCTCCGGTGTGAACAGAGGTGAAAACACTCCTTTGCCAACCGTTTTAGGACCCAGTCATGTGTGAGGCCTTGAACCTCATTTCAGTTCTGTGGTGGTCGTGAGCCTCTGAATCTGCGTGGCCCCTGCTGGGTCCTGGTCTCAAAGGCAGCATGATGGCCTCCCTGCTGCGGCCTTACACCCAGCGGGTAGATCCTGGAAGGCCCAGTGGCCATGGCTGGGCCCTCTCTTGGAAAGCCTGATAGCACAGCCTTCTCCACACCCAGGCTGGCTGGGAAGCGAGAGACCAGGTGCTCGAAGGCCCTCTGTGTCTGCGGGTGGTCCCGTCCCACACAGGCCAGGATCGTTGGGCCTCCCTAGCAGCCAAAGGAACTGAGGTCCAGACCATGGAGTGTGTTGCCCAGTGTCAGAACCTGGTCTGCTCTTGGGTCAGGCTTCCTGCACTGATCCCAAGTCACCCCGAGCCAAGGTATGTCCCTGGGCCCATTTCCTCTCTCGAGATCTTGGGCTTCCTATTTCACATGTGTGTGCAAGGAAGACCTGTCCTCTAGGCCATGAGGCTTGGTGGGAGGAGCTGCCAGGCTGGAGCCAGGACTTGGCACCTGGCCAGCCTCTGTTTCATTGCATCTTGATGGGCTGTCAGTTCTGTAGAGAAGAAATGTACTAGGAATCCTGTTCTTTCTCCCGCATTCTCACTGGCAGAGGGAAGTGGCTACACCCCCACAGCGTGGACATTCTGACGCTCCTCCACAAAGCAGCAAAGTTCTGTTGTTTCAGGAAACTGCTCCTTGAGGATGTGGTAGTGACCTCACCAGAGGAGTTGGCAAGTCCTAAGTCCTGCCCAGAGGCTTCTACAGAGACATAATGTTGGAGAACTTCTGCCACAGGGCAGTGTGGGTAAGACCCCTCTGTCCCCACCAGTGTGGCTGCTCTCTCCATGACCATGGTGTTCAGGACTGCATGTTTGTGTCCCCCCCAAAGTTTATGTGTTGAAACCTTGACCCCCAACAGGGTGTTGGAGGTGGGGCCTTTGGAAGGTGATTACGCTCAGCTGAGGTCATGAGGGGAATCCCCCCCAATGAGATTAAGTCCTTATAAGAAAGGAAGGAACTAGAACGAGCTCACTTTCTGCTGTGTGAGAACACAAGAAAACAGCCATCTTCAAGCCGGGCTTGGTAGCTCATGCCTGTAATCCCAGCACTTTGGGAGGCCAAGGCATTAGGATTGCTTGAGCCAAGAGTTTGAGACCAGCCTAAGCAACATGATAAGACCTTATCACTTTAAAAAAAAAATAGAAAACTACCATCTGCAAATCAGAGAGAGCCTTTAGCAGACACCAGACTGCCAGTGCCTTTGATACTGGACCTCCAGCCCCCAGACCTGTAAGAAATTAGTTTCTGTTGTTTAAGCCACCTAGCCTGTGGTATTTCATTATAGCAGTCCACATTGAGACAGGCAGTCAGGGGAGAGCAGAGGCTCCAGCCTGCTTCTGGTCTAGGCAGTTCTGCCATTGCCCCCCACTCCCCAGTGCCATTCATGGGCCAGGCCCCTGGAGGACTTGGCATGAGTAAAGCATGCCTCTGTCATTAAGGTTCACCTGGTCTAAAAGTGGAAGCAAACCCACACCGCCCAGCTTGACCCAGACAGAGGCAATAAATACAGAGCACTTCATGGCCAGGGCCTGGATCCTGGGGGAGTCCCACCCTACCCTAACCAGTGCCAGTAACAGAGGGACCCTGGAGTTGTGTACACAAGATAGCAGCCTAGTTCTTGCCCACATACTAGCCAAGAAGGGAAATCAGGGCCGGTGAATCAGCTCGACTGTCTGGCAGAGCCAGGCTCCTGCCATGATCTAGTTTGAACATTTGTCCTTTCTAATCTTGTATGGAAATTTGATCCCCAGTGTTGAAGGTGGGGCCTGGTGGGAGATGTTTCTGTTACTGGGGTGGATCCTTCCTTTATGAATAGCTTGGTCACATCTTTGTGGTAACAAGTGAGTTCTCACTTGATTAGTTTCTATGTGAACTGTTTGTTAAAAAGAGCCTGGTACCTCCCTCCCTTCTTCCTCCTCCTCTTACAATGTTATGCTGCTCCCTTTGCCTTCCATCATGAGTGGAAGCTCCCTGAAGCCCTCACCAGAAGCAAATGCTGGCACCATGCTTCTACAGCCTGCAGAACTGTGAGCCAAATAAACCTCTTTCTTTATAGATTGCCCAGCCTCAGGTATTCTTTTATACCAAGACATGCCATGTGTATCCATGATGGGAGCCGCAGGGTTGAAGGTGTTGTAAGACAGCTGCTCTGATCCCCACCACTGTGTCTGCCTCCAGAAAGCACACCACTTCCTTGGTATGCACACACCACTTCTGCTCCTGTCCATTCAGCCAGGTCCCAGTCATGTGAGTACAACTAGCTACAAGGGGGTCTGGGTAGCATGGTTGTAGAGGATGAGTGAGCGAGTATAGGACTCATCTAGCAGTGAAAGTTGGCCCAGACCTTGTGCCTCCATGCCCTTGCCAGCAATTATGTCTGAGCCCCCGCTCGTCCCTGTAAGGAGAGAGCAGGGGTTCCAGCCTGCTTCTGGTCCAGGCAGTTCTGTAGGCCTCGAGGATGTGGCAGTGACCTCACCAGAGGAGTTGGCAATTCCTAATTCCTGCCCAGAGGCTTCTACAGAGTCAGTGTTGGAGAACTGCCTCATGGCAGTGCTGGACAGAGGGCAGACTTAGGAGGCAAGCTCAGGGTGTGAGGGATGGAAGCAGGCAACAACACTTAGTGGGCCTTACGTGTAGAATAGGGATTCTATGCTGAGAGGCGAGCCCGGGAAACCTGGGGTTACTGATCCCCCCACCACCAAACACTCAGTTCCCAAAGTTAGGGGGAGATACAACACTTGTCCCCACCCCAAATACCAGAGCCACTGGAGACACAGGTTGTAGAACAGAGAGCTCTCAATTCCTCTCACAGTAACTGACTTCATTTGTACTTGCTTCATTTGTAACAGTGTGAAGTTCAAGCCTAAGGGTTCCCTCAGCAACACTGGAAGTTGTGGAGAAAGGCAATGTGGTAGATCAATCGATTTATTGGAGATATATGCCAGAAATATAGTCTGGCTAGGGGCCGTACAAGTACTCAAATACTAACTTCAGGAACTATCCCTTCAAAGGAGTCCAAATTTGATTGGATTAACCTGTGAAGCAATTTATGTCCAGAGCACTATTCAAAGCAGTAGAGCAATCAGCTGATAATTAATGAAGCCTAACATCTGGGTGTGGTCAGGGAAGACAACAAAGAACTTTGCAACACTTTGAGACCACTGTTAGCCAGGGTGACTGAAGGCATAACTGAGGCTGTGCTTGAGGGGAAATCCTGAGAGGCAGGCAGAGGCCTGGGGTGTGGGGTGGGGAATAGGAGCCATTAAAATAGTCTAGCTGGTCACTAAGCAAAGAAAGCAGGAAAATAGTCTGAGATCGGGTTGGCTAGTACCAGAATTGCTACAATATGTTAGCTAAGAATGTCCACTCTTCAACAGATAATTATGAGGCATGCAAAGAAACAGGGAAGTATTGCATATACACTGGGGAAGAAGGCAGGTAATAGAAACTGCCTATGTAGAGTAAGATGCTGGATTTAAAAGAAAAAGACTTCGAAGTGGCTGTTATAAATACATTTTAAGAACTAAAGGATATCATGACTAAACAACTAAAGGGGGCAAAACTAAAGGAATGAGCCATTATTGTCTCAAATAGAGATTAAGAAGGTAGAAATTGTATATTTTGTATTAAAAAAAAAACGGCTGGGCGCAGTGACTCACAACTGTAATCCCAGCGCTTTGGGAGGCCGAGGGAGGGAGATCATCTGAGCCCAGGAGTTTGAGACCAGCCTGGGTAACATAGTGCGAACTTGTCTTTATAATTTTTTTTGCAACCAGGTGTGGTGGCACACACCTATAGTCCTAGCTACTCAGGAGGCTGAGGTGTTGGATTGCCTGAGCCTGGGAGGTCAAAGCTGCAGTGAGCTGTGATTGTGCCACTGCACTTCAGCCTGGGTGACAGAGCAAGACCCTGTCTCACAAAGAATCAGATGAAAATTGTGGAGTTGAAAAGTACAATGACTGAAATGAAAAATTCACTAGGCAGGACGGGCGTGGTGGCTCAAGCCTGTAATCCCAGCACTTTGGGAGGCCGAGGTGGGTGGATCATGAGGTCAAGAGATCGATACCATCCTGGTCAACATGGTGAAACTGTGTCTCTACTAAAAATACAAAAAACATTAGCTGGGCATGGTGGCGCGTGCCTGTAATCCCAGCTACTCAGGAGGCTGAGGCAGGAGAATTGCCTGAACCCAGGAGACGGAGGTTGCGGTGAGTCGAGATCGCGCCATTGCACTCCAGCCTGGGTAGCAAGAGTGAAACTCCATCTCAAAAGAAAAAAATTCACTAGGCAAGCTCAGTAGTAGATTTGAACTGGCAGAAGAAAGAATTAGTGAACCTGAGGAGAGAGTGATGGAAACTAGGCAATCTGAAGAACAGAGAGTAAAAGGAGTAAAGAAAAATGAAGTGAGTCTTAAGAGAAATGTATGATACCACATGAACTGCACCAACATACACTTGGAGAACCAGAAGAGAGGAGGGACGGAAAGGAGCAGAAAAAATGTTTAAAGAAATAATGGCTGAAAAATCCCCCAATTTATTGAAAAATATCAACCTACAATCTAAGAGGCTCAATGAAATCTAAGTAGGTTAACCAAAGAGATCCACAAAAAGACCCATCATAGTAAAATGGCTAGAAGCCAAAGGGAAAAATCTAGAAAACAGAGAAAAATGATTTATCACTTGCAAAGAAACACAAGTAAGATCAACAGCTGACTTCTCATCAGAAACAATGGAGGCCAGAAGGAAGAGGGATAATATATTCAGAGTGCTCAAAGAACAACCACCACCAAAAAAACTAACCAAGAATCCTATATCAACCAAACTAGCTTTCAAAAATGTAAGCAGCTGGGCATGGTGGCTCATGCCTGTAATCCCAGCAGTTTGGGAGGCCGAGGTGGGTGGATCACCTCAGGTCAGGAGTTGAAGACTAGCCTGGCCAACATGGCGAAACCCTGTCTACTAAAAATACAGAAACTAGCCTGGCGTGGTGGTGTGTGCCTGTAATCCCAGCCACTTGAGAGGCTGAGGCAGGAGAATTGCTTGAACCCAGTGGTAGAGGTTGCAGCGAGCTGAGATTTGGGCCAGTGCACTCCAGCCTGGGCAACAGAGTGATACTCTGTCTCAAAAATAAATAAATAAATAAGCAATTTAAAGATGATCCCAGATACTACACACAAAAGCCAAGAGAATTTGTTGCTGGCTGGCCCACCTCATGAGAAATATGGAAAGAAGTCTTTCAGGCTGAAAGCAAATGACCCCAGATGGTGTTACTCAAATCCACATTAAAAAAAACACTAGCCGAGGTACTTGTAGCATTGTTTAAAACAGTATAAATGCATATTTCTTCTTTCTTAATTGATTTAAAAAGCAATTGTATATAACAGTATGGGTATAACGTATTATTTGGCCTATCACATATAGACATATAATGCATTTGTCAATAATACCGCAAAGGAGATGGGTGGAAGAAAAATTATCTGGCTAGGAAGTGAGTCCAGGTAGTAACTCAAATTCACGGAACCGATAACCAGAAACAATAAAAAAGTTAATGCAGCAGAAGCTATAAATATGTACTTGTCCTCCTTTATCTCGCCATTTCTTTAAAGAGCATCACATTGCATAATAATGACAACATGCTGCTGGGTTTTAACCTGTAGAGATGTGGTGTGTGTAACAGTAATACCACAGAAGGGGAAAGGGGACAGAGCTGCACAGGAGCTGCATTTCTGTCTCTCCATGGAACTGGTGCCAATCCAAAGTGGATTCTGATAAAATGTAAATGGCGACCCCTAGAACAACCACTAAAGAAATAATTCAAAAAATAGAGTGAAAAAATCATTAAAGAAATAAAAATGCTACATTGGGAAATAGCCAGTGTCAAAGAAAGCAGCAAAGGAGGAAGAGAGGACCCAAGATGACAGGAGGCAGGACTCACTTAGTGTGGCCCGTGCTGTCCACGACCTGGCGGCAGTTACTCATCTAGTCTTCCTGATGCCTGACTGAGTCACTAGTGCCGTCCCGTTGTACAGATGAGTGGTTGAGGGTCTGGAGCGGCAGGGATGGTCAGGGACACAGAGTTTGGAGCCTGGAGCCATTTTACTCCACAGCCCAGGATCTCACTGCAGTGCTTCCCCTGCCTGTTGCCTGTGATTCCCCACTTTTCTTGGCTTCCAGTGGCCTCTGCCTTAGCTGTGTCTGCCAGCCTCCTGCTGTGCTGAGCTGGATGTGCCAGGGGTACCTCTGTGTCCTGCTTTCCCTGGGTAGACCTGGTGGTACCTGCTGTCCTGGAACAATTGCTAACAACACCCCTTTCACTCTCAAGAGTGAATTGTGTGGGGGCCATGCTGTGGGGCCCAACCTTCACACAGTGCCTCACACATGGTGTCTATGGGATGTCAGCTCTTCAGGGGCTCCAGGCCAGTAATCACAGCAGAGGTCACCATCAGAGGACGTTGAATGGTGGAAGCCACCTCTGAAGTCAGTGCTGGCCCCCAGAGTCTCTGTGTGGATGGTAACCTGAAGTAGCCCTTGCTGGGGAAGGACCCATCTCAGGGGCAGACTGAGTCAATGTTCATCTTACCTATGTTGATTGATGTCTCATATTTCCCTAAAATGAAGAAAACCAAACTGTGCCCTGATCACCAACTGGGCACATGTCATCAGGACCTCCAGAGCCATGTCACGGGCGTGTGTCCTCAACTATGGCAAAATGAACTTTCTAACTTAACTGAGACCTGCCTTGGATCACCTTTTGGTAATCCAGAAGGGATTCTGAGTGGAGGTGCCACTGACCTTTGAAAAAATCTCCTTTTGGTGCTTGGTACCAGCTTGAGCTACCTTTATGACTTAAACCAATAGGACAATTTAGTGATGCTTGGAAGCACCCCCCTCCAGAGAATCCCTATCTGCCAAAATTTGGTTGAGATTTAATGTTTATCGTGCTGTTCAACTGCCTTTTCTTTGTGGCAGTGGTGTGGGGAGTTGTACTTGCTTCCAGCACAAGGCAGGCAAGTTTTTTATGCTTCCATGACTATGGAAGGCAGGTAACTCCTTTATGGAA